ACCCCAGCTCTTCTGTCTACCCCACACTTATCAATCTACTTCTCTGCAATCTTCCCTAATTCCCTTCGCTCTTTCCTGATTGCTCTCTCCACCATTCTTCAAAATCACCCATCCAACCATCTGCTCATTTTTACCCTCCCTCCCTCTCACTCTTCTTCCCCTACCCCCCTCTCTTATTCCCTCCCTCCCTTCCTAATCACCAGCGGTGTAATTCAAAGAGGATTTAACCCCCCACTTGAGTGCTCTCCTCGTCTTAGAGAGCTCATCTTAGTCCTTCAATCAAGGGTCGTCAGCCACAATGGAAAATGGCTGTGGGCAGATAGCAATCGTGGGGGTGATGCTGGGGGTGGGGTGGGCGTGGGCGTGGGTAGATAGCCTCCGTATATCTACTCATTAGAGTGCACTCAATGGCACTTGACACCCGCCTCCGTCCTGGTAGTGAACTATGTAAGAGGTTCCTTGCTTCAGCTTCGTAGTTTTTTTCCTTGAAATTTATAATGCGAATTGTATTATATAGAGAGAGAGAGTTGCCCGGTTGCCTCTCACTCCCCTCCCTCCCCTCTCTCACAACACTCACCATAACTGTCACCTCCTCATGACTGCAACATGACACAGACTGTCAGCCACCGGCGGAAATGTGTGAATGGCGAACTTCTCACTTCAGGAGAGTCCAGGTCTACCAAGCCACAGAGTCCAGGCCTACCAACCTGGGCATACTAGAAATATATTCAAATCACCCTTGGATATAACGTAACGTCACTGATGCCCCTTGTCTTCTTCTCAGACATCTGGGCAGCAGCAGCAGCAGCAGCATTGGGAGTGGACAGAATCCCGACCCAGGTTCGAATCTCCAAAAACGGGAAAATGCACGTTTCTAATTCTAATTCTAATGCTAACTCTGTCTTGAAAGTAGCCTCCGGGAACCATCATCAGTAATATATATGCTCTCAGTTCTAGGTTCATGTCAACAAAGCGATAGCCAATCAGCGCCGAGGTAACATATACTTACAGAAGGAAAATATGCCACCCTTACCAATCAGCATGCTGCTTACTTCAGATTTAACATGTCATCAGCCAATCACCACCCTGCTTACACACGATCAACACCTGCAAACACACCATCAGCCAACCAACACAAAGCTTACAGGGGATCAGCGAGATTATAGGCACAGATTCGACCAATCAGAGCCAAGCTTACACACTAATTCCGATGCAAAATACGCCTTAAGCTGCCAAAAATAATATTACGCTTATACGCGAGTCTGAACCCCAGTTATGGAAGGGTTGATGGGAATATGGAACAGGAAGGGCAAGGTGAGGGAGAGTGAGAGGGGAAGGGTGAGAGGGGAGAGTGGGATGTAACGGGGGGGAAGAGAACGTTAATGGAAAGAACATACTTTCTCATATCATTAATATGCAACCTTCTTATCTCTGCCTCACCTATCTCTCTTTCTCTCTCTCTCTCTCTCTCTCTCTCTCTCTCTCTCTCTCTCTCTCTCTCTCTCCTCTTTCCCCTTCTTCCATTCTTCTCTTTTCCTCCCATCCTATACATTATCGTCTCTTTTCCATTTCCCCTCTTCCGTCTCTCATTTCCAACTCTCAACCATTCCCCCCTTCCATTAATGTGCGTGTTGGAGCGGAGTGAGGGGAAGGGAGTGTAGGAGGGAGGGAGGGGGCGTGTACTGAGGGAGAGAGGGAGGGAGAGGAAGGATGGAATAGAGAGAGAGAGGGGAGGAAGAGGACATTAATACTTCGTTAACAGGATGTACTCACCAGTTCGATCCCCCTCAGCGACCGCGAATTACTCCAGGTATTAACACAGCCGCTGACGACAGCAGGATAGGGAAAGGATGTAGGGATGGGGGAGAGAGGGGAGAGTGGAGGATGAGGCATATATATATTATATGTTACATATATATTAGTGTTTGTGTGTGATTTATTGCATAATGGGGTCCCAAACTGCACCAGAGGAGTGTAAAAGTTGAGCATTTTCCATTTGTTGTTAACATAGTGCTTTTGTTGCTATAGATTTCAGTGTATTCCGATAACGTGTCAGAGCAGCGAGGAGGCAGTGTTCTAGAGGTAATGCTCTGGAGGCTGTATTATTTTATATTATATTATATTAAGGGTTATATTAAGAGCTGAACCGGACAAGGTCGAGTCCTGTAGGTGTGCCTAAGCACCAGGGGATCCACTCAGTGATTAACTGAATGCCTCAGTATTTGTACGCTTAGGGATACATGTTATAATGCGTCAATATTTGTACGCTGTGGGATACATGTTATAAGGGATACATATACTAACCACAAAGAACGGTGTGTAACATCAAAAGGTTTAGCGAGATGCAGGCGATGAGTCACAATAACGTGGCTGAAGTATGTTGACCAGACCACACACTAGAAGGTGAAGGGACGACGACGTTTCGGTCCGTCCAGGACCATTCTCAAGTCGATTCTCAAGTCAGTTTAGCAAGATGCAGGGTCCACCCAGCTCTTGCGTCTCCATCTACAAGATCTGAAGATCTTCGATCAAAACGGCTGAGTCGGTATTTACTAAACAGTTTACGACTTCCGAGATGCTGCGAGGTCGTTTTCAGCGTAAGCTTATTATTGTTATGGACGAACTCGTAGCGCTTCGGATCTCTTAAACTGTTTAGTGAATGTAGACCAATCCGCCATGCAGACGAAGCACGACTGATGAGGTGAATCAAAACATCAGGGACTGTGATATCCCACAAACGAATCATCAGGAACTCCAGGTATAGTCTGATGGCTACTAGACTTTAACTCAAGCAAATGCAATGTTATGAGGAGAGGAACGTGAGGGCGAAGACCCGTACAGCAGCATAGAATGACGAGGAGACAGATTCTTGAACCAGTAAAGAAGAAAAAAATGGAAGTAGACATTCCCCTAAATCAGTTGTCTAAAACTTTCAATATCTACACCTGTGTGTGTAGGTAAGTGCTTTGTGCACCACCCGGACTACAGCCTCTTGAGGAGCGGTGAACACACACACACACACACACACACACACACACACACACACACACACACACACACACACACACACACACACACACGCACACTGTCAAATGGGACAGGAGTCATTGCTGTCAAACACCCGATGGCTAGAAAGGCGGGATCCAAGAGTCAATGCTCGATCCTGCAAGCACAAAGAGGTGAGTACACAACTTCAGTCCAGAATAAGGAGTCCTTACCTTGAGGTGCTTCCAGGGCTTAGCGTCCCCGCGGCCCGGTCGTCGACCAGGCCTCCTGTGTCCTACACACACATGCTATATTCCATCTTGTCAGGTCTGTGATGAAAGGTCCTGAGGCTCTAGAATGACCTTGAGACCTTTAAGGCACTCATTCCACCCTAGTATAATCTAGGTCTTCACTCCATCACAAGATTAGGTCTACACCTGTACACCAACGAAAACGTTCACGAGTTCACATATAAAATATTCAGCGCTGAAAATATTAAAAAAAAATCCTTCCTATCTAGATGACTTATACATAATATTTACCCGTCAATATTTACATCCCCACATGTATACTCTGCAGATGAACTATACAATCTCCATGCCAGAACCAACACCGGTCCTCACCGCTAAAGAAACCACTGCATGAGCCAAGGTATTCAGACAGGTGGACCTCCAGGACCTCATTACAGACTCGAGGCGATATTCAATGCAGCCTTGAAAACGAGTTCTGTCTTGGTGAATGGATGGAAGAAGGAACCCTGCTTGCTGTGGGCTCAGAGTACACACACACACACGCACACACACACACACACACACACACACACACACACACACACACACACACACACACACACACACACACACACACACACTAGACGAGTACAAGCACACGCTCACATGGTAGGTGAGTGGATACACACATGACAGGGGTGGACACAGACAAACTATTTACCACGGTTGGAACACGAACAAGGGGGGAAACTTAGTACCCAAATGAGCCACAGAGACATTAGAAGGATTGTTTTTTTCAATCTTAGAGTGGTTAACAAATGTAATGCATTAGGTTGTGATGTGGTGAAGGCAGACTCCATACACAGTTTCAAACGTAGATTTGATAAAAGCCCAATAGGCTCCAGAATCTGTACACCAGTTGATTGACGGTTGAGAGGCGGGAACAAAGCGCCAGAGCTCAACCCCCGCAAGCACAACTAGGTGAGTACATATCGGTGAAGGAACTAATCAGTGTGTCAGGTGGTTACATATGGCATGACACATGTGGCATGACACAAGGCTTGGTACTGGGGCCCATTTCATATTCCTGATGAAGTCAGATTTAGAATCGAAGACGACTGCGACACCTTTATACGCTGCAGCATTGGTCAGCAATATGGTTGTTGGACTTCAACCCCTTACAAATGCAATGTTATTAAGAGAGGAGTTAAGGAAAGTATATCACAGGGCCTGTAGAGACTGCATGGAAGACATCATCCAGAACCAAAAAAGATGTCAGAGTTTAGATAAAACTAAATCCGACAGCTGTGGAACACATTAACAATATAAAATCAGCAGGATATGAGAAACTGATAAATGTCCAAATAGCTTTCAGATCCCAAGATAAAGGTGCCTTTAAGACATTATATACAGTCTACGAAAGGCCATCACATGAATATCAAGTGATATAATTATATACAAGTAGGTATACAGGTATAGGTATATAATTATATACAAATAGGTATATAGGAACAAACGACGTCTGTCTCACGTTAGTAGGATGAGAGAGCTCTACCTTTGGTATATCATGTCAAGCCTTACCCCCTGGAGCAGGTCCTGTACCAACTGGTAACAACCAGGTCCCCAATTACTGCTGGGTGAACAGAGGCAAACAGTTAGGTCATCAACTGCTACCGTAGCTTCATCAACTTCTGCCACAGTCATCAACTTCTACCACAGAGTCATCAACTTCTGTCACAGAGTCATCAACGTCTGCCACAGTCATCAACTTCTACCACAGAGTCATCAACTTCTGCCACAGTCATCAACTTCTACCACAGAGTCATCAACTTCTGTCACAGAGTCATCAACGTCTGTCACAGAGTCAGCAACGTCTGCCACAGAGTCAGCAACTTCTGTCACAGAGTCATCAACGTCTGCCACAGAGTCATCAACGTCTGCCACAGAGTCATCAACGTCTGTCACAGAGTCATCAACTTCTGTCACAGAGTCATCAACGTCTGTCACAGAGTCAGCAACTTCTGTCACAGAGTCATCAACGTCTGCCACAGAGTCATCAACGTCTGTCACAGAGTCATCAACGTCTGTCACAGAGTCAGCAACTTCTGTCACAGAGTCATCAACTTCTGCCACAGAGTCATCAACGTCTGCCACAGAGTCATCAACGTCTGCCACAGAGTCATCAACGTCTGCCACAGAGTCATCAACGTCTGCCACAGAGTCATCAACGTCTGCCACAGAGTCATCAACGTCTGCCACAGAGTCATCAACGTCTGCCACAGAGTCATCAACGTCTGCCACAGAGTCATCAACGTCTGCCACAGAGTCATCAACGTCTGCCACAGAGTCTTCTGTACCACCATCCACCTGTAACAATCAAGCAGGTAATGGCCATTATCCTCACATTACGTCAAGCGTTGTTGAACGATCGTTAATGAGGCCCGTAGTTAAACGAAGCAGTTGCCGGATGAATTGGGCCAACGATACGGTTAATTGGCACACAATCGGATAATTCCGTGCGTACAGGCCGTGTACAGAAAGCGTACAAGCCATGAGTTTGTCCTGTTTATTTTCTGCACGGTCGAATGTCGAGATAACTCGATGCAAACCCGGAGAGGATGAGACAGAGAGAGAGAAAAGAAGAACTACCAACTGTTACAAGTGTCATCAATCACCAACTTTCCGCAATTTCTACCTGGGAGGGAAAGAGATGACAGGTTCACATTTGTGGCTGAGGAGACACAGGCGACGATGATAACTAAACTGCATATTGCAAATCGGACAGGCTTGCAAAAAGGAGTGGCAAAAACATAAGTGATCAAGAGATGGAAATGACATAACGGGAATGAAGTTTGACTCTTCAATAACGATGAAGTTGCTTGATGAAGTTGATTAAGCTTGATCGGGAGCCGGTCGGCCGAGTGGACAGCACGCTGGACCTGTGATCCTGTGGTCCTGGGTTCGATCCCAGGCGCCGGCGAGAAACATTGGGCAGAGTTTCTTTCACCCTATGCCCCTGTTACCTAGCAGTAAAATAGGTACCTGGGTGTTAGTCAGCTGTCACGGGCTGCTTCCTGAGGGTGGAGGCCTGGTCGAGGACCGGGCCGCGGGGACACTAAAAAAAGCCCCGAAATCATCTCAAGAATCTCAAGAAGCTTAATCTAACCCACAAGGCAGCCAGGAAACTTAATTGGAACATCTCACACCTTCTTGACAATTCGAGGCTGCAGAACCTTATATTCAGCACAAGTCTGCTCCCATCTTGAGTATGCATCTCGTATCTTGCCTTGTCTGCCACCCCCGTCATTCATCAAAATTTTAGACAAGGTGGAGCACCGCACAAGAAGGCTCATCTCCAGTCTTGACCAAGTCTTTTTGAACTCGTCTGAACATCAGAAACACTGTCGTGATGTTGGTGGTCTTACTGTTATGTACAAGGCCAACATCCTCACAGTTCTGCACCTGGCCCAACCCCCGTGGACACCCAGCAGTTGGCACTCATGACACAAGGCTCTCAGCTATCAACAGTCTCATGCTGGAACTGCCTTTCTCAAGAACATCACTATATCAGCGATCATTAATGGCTAGGCTGACTCCCATCTGGAACTTGTTTGCTCAAGATGTTGATACGTGAGCTACCAAGTCGACCAATCACATGAAGGCTCTGGCACTCAGTTGCCTGCTGGGTCATTCTGTTCCTTGTATGACAGTTACTTGGCATTAAAGCTAGTTTACTCGTAATGGATACAAATAACAATCTCATTAAATAAATGAGTCGCTAGGGACAGGCTTCAGATGAACTCAGGATAACAGCTCTTGCTTGCACTTTCACTAGGAACCTCAATAACATACCTAATAAAACCCTAGTCTTAGTTTAAGAGAGAGAGAGAGAGAGAGAGAGAGAGAGAGAGAGAGAGAGAGAGAGAGAGAGAGAGAGAGAGAGAGAGAGAGAGAGAGAAAGAGAGAGAGAACAACCCATAAAGCTGATGCTCATTAAGCCTTAACTAGGTATTATAATCCCAGTATACAGGACTCTCCCCCCCCCCCCTATAACAGAATTATTTACCAGGTAATGAATCAAATGTTTATCTTGTTTTGTGCCTCTGTATCTAGTTTATCAATTGATGCTTCTCTCGTTCATTACATTCTCTCTCTCTCTCTCTCTCTCTCTCTCTCTCTCTCTCTCTCCTTCATTACCCAATGTCCCATCTCGAAAGTTTACAACCTTGAATATAAACAAGGCATCAGAACTTTGTCAGAACTTTTTACAAACTTCTTAAACTTTCTCTCGCTCTTACAACGGCCAAAGTTTGTCTCTCCAGCGCACCAAGAAAGCTTATTGCATATGCTTTTTTTTTGTTATTTGACACCAATTTTGTATTTGTTGGATAACAGCAAAAATAAGCTGGAGATTGTGTCTTTCATGTTGTGTTACATATGAATACAAAAGGGTGGGTTGAGTGGGCAGCGGTGGGTTGAGTGGGCAGCGGTGGGTTGAGTGGGCAGCGGTGGGTTGAAAATGCGAGGTTGGACAGGGTGGGTTGACTGGGGGAAAGGTGGGGTAAGTAGGCTGTATTGACTAACCAGGTGGGCAGAGCAGAGTGGGCTTCGTGGAGAGGAAACACTTCCTACATAGTGGGGTGGCTACATATTGCCTTAATAACCTACCCAAAAAACGCAAATATTAAACCAATATAAATTTCTATAAATACACACATAATTATTACTAAAATATACAAATTATGATACAACGTCATTAACCCCCGCTTAGGGAGGTAAATACAGTTTTAATTTAATGAACAGAATAAATAATCGTGTAATATTGTTCAATACGCGAGATATTGGTTGTACGAGGCTGTGTGTTCTGGCCTGGCTGTGCCGGCACGGTCGGTCTTCAGCTCCCCGGAACCCTCTTTCTAAAAAAAAAACAATGATTTGTTCATTTGATGCATCACGTTAGTGTGATCTCTCTGTGTGTGTGTGTGTGTGTGGCGTCTTTCTAAAATTTGGGTTGAATAATACTCCCGACCTATGTGTTTCCTATCAATCGTTTCAGTCTTATTGTTCTACTATTATGCTAAAAAGAGCATTTTTCTCAGGTCTGTCTGTCTCATCTGAGACTCTTGCATCCGTCTCCCCCCAACCCTAGTTATGTTTTTTTTTTTATAAATGCTTTCCACGGGGTCTCATAAATATTATATGTCTCTTGTCATCTCACTCTCTTCTCTTTTCTAGGCTCGTTGAAGATTTCTCATTTCAAAAGGGGACTTCACGGTGGAGCTGCGTATACTTAGACTGGTCTCACGTAGGTGGTGTACAATGTTTTGAATCCCACCCCTTAATGAGGCGCCTTAAGACTATATGCCGCTGATTTTCTCTTGTTTATGTGTATCTCTTAGGATCAACAGAACATCAAATCTAATCTTTCTAGTTGATACAAGGCAGTGGTATCTGCTTCTTGTTGGTCTCCTGCTTCCTTAAGGTGGAAGGGATTTTTTAGGATAGCGGGTGTTTTTAAGATTGCCTTAATGTCCACCATACGGAGATTTCCAATATATCTTGAACCACAGATTTTACGATAGCCTATAACGGAAAGTGCCCCCTCATACCCCCGATGGGTTTCAAAGAGTTGAGGCAGAATCTCTTTCTGGCAGTCAAGAGAATGTTGCTGATAACAGAACACCTTCCAGTTATCAAGAAATACTTTAGCCCCAAAACAAATCACTATCCACTTCTCAGGACAGCCAACTAGTCAATACACCACCATGTTAGATCTGCACGGGGAATATACATATACGTTTATATTTGTGCATACGAAAAAAACATTCAATAAGTATTACACCCAAATATCAATAATTGATCTACTCAACAATTTCATCTGCTTTGTATGTGTCTCCATCAGCATTAGTTTTCCAGACGTTGAGGTTCATCTTAGATACTTTATATCCTAAATCCTCAGTGCACCTATACCTTAATGCTCCTCTTATTGGGGTTTGGAAAATGGGAGGTTAGGTGGTTAGGTTAGATTAATGGATGGGATGGAAGTTGTGGGATAGAGAGGTTGTAAGATAGACACTGTGAGGTACAGAGAAATTGTGAGTGTGTGTGTGTGTGTGTGTGTGTGTGTGTGTGTGTGTGTGTGTGTGTGTGTGTGTGTGTGTGTGTGTGTGTGTGTGTGTGTGTGTGTGTAATTACCTAAGTGTAATTACCTAAGTGTAGTTACAGGATGAGAGCTACGCTCGTGGTGTCCCGTCTTCCCAGCACTCTTTGTCATATAACGCTTTGAAACTACTGACGGTCTTGGCCTCCACCACCTTCTCACTTAACTTGTTCCAACCGTCTACCACTCTATTTGCGAAGGTGAATTTTCTTATATTTCTTCGGCATCTGTGTTTAGCTAGTTTAAATCTATGACCTCTTGTTCTTGAAGTGCCAGGTCAAAAATTTTTGACTCGAGCCACCCACTAGCCTTGAAGAAATCGCTACCCTACTCACTTGGACTCAGACTCAAGCGGATTTAAGCGGACTCAAGCGGACACTCAAGTGTGTGTGTGTGTGTGTGCCTAACTGGGCTTATGGGTAGTGATACCTAGCTCTTGGGTCCCACCACAAATAATATGAATAATTAAAAAAACTTAAAATCCTAAGCAAATTGCTCCTCCAAAATCAACAGGTAATATATATTAATTTAAGTTAATTGCTTGTTGTAATTTCATTGTCGTTCAAAGTCGGCAAATTACGATAAACATTGAAATGTTTTTCCAGCTCTTGTTACTTAATCAGGACCAGCCTTGTCGCCTGTCTGCTTGGGTAGTTAGAAGCCACTTCCAGCTACCCAAACTGCCCTGTAATTATCCTTAACGATCATCGTGGCTGGCTGTTTACACAACTGCTGATTGCGTCCGTTAATGGCAGCCGCAGTTAGCCTCCGAGTAATTGGGTAAAATTGGTTCATGGCCAGTTACTAATTGGTTTTAGTGTTACCGCCTGATAATCATGCAAAAATGTATGTATTGCTGGGTACTTTGGGAGTTATATTGGCACAAGGCAGGATATTATCTTAGTAAATAAATGAACGCAGTTAAATTGGAATCCGGATCGGTTGGTTTTGACCCCCTGGAAACACAGACACACGCAAGCAGGGAGACAGGCAAGCAGGTAAGCAGGCAAGCAGGAAGGTATAGGCAAGCAGAAAACAGTGCTGGCAGAAAATTGTCATCAAACCATCTTTCCCCAATTTACTCTCCCCCTCCCCACACCACCCCAACCCTCCCCTCCCCACACCACCCCAACCCTCCCCTCCCCACACCACCCCAACCCTCCCCTCCCCACACCACCCCAACCCTCCCCTCCCCATACCCCCCAACCCTCCCCTCCCCACACCCCCAACCCTCCCCTTTCCCCATACCCCCCCAACCCTCCCCTCCCCACACCCCCCCAACCCTCCCCTTTCCCCATACCCCCCCAACCCTCCCCTCCCCACACCCCCCCAACCCTCCCCTTTCCCCATACCCCCCCAACCCTCCCCTCCTCACACCCCCCAACATCTTTCCCTCTCCCCCTCTCTCCAAGCACTCCCTCCCTCCCTCTAATCTAGGCTGGTAGAATTACCCAGTATCATTTATGCTACTTGCTTTCTATTGTTCCTCGCGTTCATTATGTACAGGAGCAAAAATTGTAATGAGGTCTTAATTAATATCCATGCTTGGTGCTACAGGCTGGAAATTACCTGCATCTCTGCATTCTACTTCACAGGGACAATTATCACTGTAATGGTTAGAGGGCGAGATGGTCTGGCAGAGACCAGGGAGGGAGGGAGAGGGAGAGAGAGAGAGAGAGAGAGAGAGAGAGAGAGAGAGAGAGAGAGAGAGAGAGAGAGAGAGAGAGAGAGAGAGAGAGAGAGAGAGAGAGAGAGAGAGAGAGAGGGAGAGGGAGAGGGAGAGAGAAACAAAAAAACACAGACAGACAGAGACAAGGTAAACAAATAAATACAACAAATTACAGAAAAAAATACCTAGACACACACACAAAAAAACACATATACCTCTAAATACCTTGTTTCCTTACTGTGTGTGTGTACTCACCTAGTTGTACTCACCTAGTACTCACCTAGTATTCACCTAGTTGTACTCACCTAGTTGTACTCACCTAGTTGTACTCACCTAGTTGTACTCACCTAGTTGTACTCACCTAGTTGTACTCACCTAGTATTCACCTAGTTGTACTCACCTAGTATTCACCTAGTTGTACTCACCTAGTATTCACCTAGTTGTACTCACCTAGTATTCACCTAGTTGTACTCACCTAGTATTCACCTAGTTGTACTCACCTAGTATTCACCTAGTTGTACTCA